AAATCCTTTTCTGCAACCGATTAGGTGAGTTGTAAGGCCTGAGTTTCTCGTATTTCCGTATTTCCATACAACGCAGCCAACATACCATGCAATGTGGTTTTTTTAAATAACTTCCCCTTCCTCCTGCCCTCCCTCTCCTCCCCCCCCTTCACTTTTGTTCTTTCAGGCTTGGACTCTCGTTCCTTCGGGGGACTTGTGCAAAGGGTCGCCGCTCGCGTTCATGTCGGTTCCAAGGGACCACGGAGTTCGCACAACATGCCGTCACACCTTTCTTCCTTCCTTCCCTTCAATGCAGCTGTCCTCCCCTTCCATACCAGTTCTGTGTACAGTGTAGCGGCTGTGGTACGTGGACTGAGTGTTTGCCGTTGTGCAAGCAAGCCTTTTGTGCGTTATGTGCTTTGTGGGGTACACGGCTATATGTTTAGTGTGCTCTATTCTCGTCTGAATTCCCGGCGCTTTCTCCCTTCTGGGTCGCCGCCGCCCGGGGCCCTGGCCTCTTGGCCTCTTGGCGAGATCGCTCATCCTCGTCACAGATCGGTCACACATCCAGACCGTCTCTTTCGTCGGTCGCAGCTCTACTTAGATTAGATAGCTCAGTTTCAGCGCTTCCAGGTTCAGTTAGCATGCTGTTTAGCGCTTTACATCGCCGCGCCTATCAACGTCGAGGCAGTGCCGCCCTCATCCTCTCAAAAGGACACGGATTTAACTGACCTTTCAATCAGCGCTGAGTTATGGGGGATACCGCTCGGTGAGTAGTATCTGTGCAACTTGACTCGACTGGCTCTAACGCTCCGCCAGCTCATCTTCTCATCTTTTCCACCGGTCCCGATCGACAACGATATCCGGGGGAAGGTTCAGCAACTCTGCAGGAGATCATAACGTGAACAGCCCTGTCCTCAACAAATGTAGGTCCCTGTCCCAGACCTGGACTTTTGGCTATGTCGACCAAATGTGCTCAATACCAGTTGCTGACCAAATTATTGCACAGATATGGGTACGCAGACGAACTTAGGCAACGAATCAGCTGGGGGGCCCTCGTCACATTTTGATTCATCGACTGGCAACCCAAACACGTTGGCACGTCCATTCTCCCCACTAAATCCAGGTGAGTGTATGTAGCACCCGGGTGGAATGGGGCCCATAACTCATGTAGAGATTGTTCCCAAGGCATAGGGCCTCGTTCCGAACTCCACCAGGACGATGCGCTCGGCGACAGTTCTGACCGAATGGTCAGTAGCAGAACGCAAGTAGCCCCAGGCAATGAATCGGTTTTGCGGTCCTTGTCGTCGTATTTTGGCTCATTGATTGGCCGCTTAAACCCCGTGGCACCGTCTGCTGATTCGAGTCGTGGTCCTTCAGCCTCTTTGCCAGATCTAGGTGGGTGCCAGTGCTAGTATTGAATGGCAGCTCCATCTGATCAAGAATTTTGACTTAAGCATAGGTTATGCTCCGACTGGAGACAAGGAATCTCCAATCGCTCGATACCAGCGCCATCTACTGCTCGAAAGGCATGGCTTTCCGCTCTGGGCACCCCAGCCCCTTCGTCGGCTCCCTCCCTCTTATCGACGGACGGGTGTCAGTGTTGGTGATGTTGGCATCATAACGTCTCAAGGAAGCTTCGATTACCTGTTCAACATTTGCCTGTCGCATGGTCACCCGGAGGTCTTACCGATTGACTTTTCACCGATTAATCTCTTGCCTAGCGATATCTCGGAATTACGCGAACACGATTCGGGAACTTGCCTTATGACTTCCTCTATCGAAAAGTCAAGGTACGTTTGAATGAGTAATGTATCTCGGCATCTGGTGCTAATCTGGTTTATAGAGGTTTAACCTTTAAGTGTAATGATTCTGAAGGATCCATCTTAGTGATGCCCAACGGGGCCTACCATGAAGATTTGCTCAGCTTGGAAAAGTTTCTGAGCGTCAAGTCAAAGGAAGTTGAGGAATGGTACAGGTTCACCATCGGCACTTGTGGTAGGCGCATCAAAAACGGGCAACTTCGACTTGTTACGGGTTGCGATAAGACCAACTCATGGGGGATCGCTACTTATTCTGATCTTAAAGGACCTGCGACCCTATCACTAGCTGCTGATGGCGTGCAGCCACTCGTTGAATATACCTGGAATTATGAAGGGCGTGTTAAAGTTAACTTGAAGGCAGGCCCAAAGTCTGAAGAGTGCTTAGATTCCGCAGGCAGGGAAGAATACCCGCGAGATAGCCGGAATCAATGCACCTTCCTCCGTTCGTTTGCCTTCACACTTGCCGAGGATGTCTGGAAGGAGATGCTATCAACCCTTACTCAAGATGTATCGGATGACAACAATGCTTTGGATTTAAGTAAGCTGCCTTTAAAGCAGGCTTCGTCGAACGGCTGAAATCATTATTCGCAGGAGATCAAGGAGGAACAGTCAGTGTGAGGAGTGATGGGTTTGGGGGCGATATGTCTATGGTTAGCACCTCCTGTCGTTGTCCATTTTCGATCCTCATAAAGACATTACAGATCCATCCGGCAATAGTTATCAATCAGATGCTTTTGAGTCAGGTGAGTTCCACGGCTCAGTTTGCGTTTTTCCCGCTCACCTCGGTCCAGTATCCCAGTGCCAAGGTAGCCATCAGCCACGATAATGACTGGTGTGCCGTTATCAGAGAGGTGCGTTCAGCTAAGCTTGATTACTCACAGTCTAAAGCCTACATAGGACGAAACCACAATGCCAGATGCCTCTGAACTCCTTGGTCGGATACGACAAACCTTCTTGTGCCATTTGAACGAAGACGGTACGTTTTCTGGTGTATTAAAATCCATATATTCATATATTTTATCAAGAAGGGACCGTTTACCTCTCCCGAGAACAACATGATTCTACTTCTATAATGCCTAAAAAAGCCGACTCAGAATCGACGAAACAACCTTCGAAGAAGAGCAGGAAAGGAGGTCGGGAGAAGGAGAAGGATAAGAATAACCCAGATCCCTCGAATGATTCTCCTGGTGATGACACCAACGAGAGCACTCCTCAGAACACCATCTCCCGCGCCCGCGCCACCGGATCGTCCACTGCAGATGGTTCGGATTTTGGTTCAATGCCAAATGGAACTCCCTTAATCAACGTATCTGACGACGGGTCAGAAACGACTTTACCCGCGTCAGCGAACAGAACACACGGTTCACCCTACCCCTCCAAAGTAAACCCCCTGCATCTCGAGTCACCCCAATTAGCCACATCGCTGCCCTCATCACTGTCACCCATTCCGTCCCCACACACAACTACCGCCCCTTTAGACATTCCCCTCGCGCACACCATCCTTATCAACGCAATACCGTTTAGTCCAGGTTCAACAAACAGCAGCGGAGCTCCCGGCGAATCTGTGGGAAATGGTGGATCAAAGGACAAACTCAAACAGCTTAACATTGATGATATGATCCAGCGGTTGCTGCACGTGGGCTTCACCGGCAAAGTCAGCAAATCACTGTGTTTGAAGAATGCGGAGATCACAGCAATTTGTCTTGCTGCTCGCGATGTTTTCCTTGGCCAGCCTACCCTGATAGAACTTTCACCGCCTGTGAAGATCGTTGGCGACGTGCATGGTCAGTATTTCGACCTCATACGGTTGTTTGAGATGTGTGGGTTCCCTCCAGCCGCCAATTACTTGTTTCTTGGCGATTATGTCGACCGCGGCAAACAGAGCCTTGAAACCATCCTTCTCTTGCTATGCTACAAGATAAAATACCCAGAGACTTTCTTTTTACTTCGGGGGAATCACGAATCTGCAAATGTTACGCGAGGTACGTTTTCTTTCCAATCTAACACTGCATAAGCGAATTTGATGACAGTTTATGGATTTTACGATGAATGCAAACGACGGTGTAATATCAAGACGTGGAAAACATTTATAGACGTGTTTAATTGTCTTCCCATCGCTGCCATCGTGGCGTCGAAGATTTTCTGTGTCCACGGAGGGCTATCCCCTTCACTTCATTCAATGGACGACATAAAGGGCATACAGCGGCCGACGGACGTGCCCGATTTTGGGCTCCTCAATGATCTACTGTGGTCGGACCCATCGGACACGGCGCTCGATTGGGAAGACAATGAGAGAGGAGTCAGTTACTGCTTCGGAAAAGCCATCATCAACGAGTTCCTCGTTCGATATGATATGGATTTGATATGTCGCGCTCATATGGTCGTAGAGGATGGTTATGAGTTTTGGAATGACCGTACCCTTGTCACCGTATTCAGCGCGCCGAATTACTGTGGTGGTAAGTTTACCCGCAGTTCACGTTTGAAGAGAGGTCTCACTTTCATTGCAGAGTTCGACAACTACGGTGCATGCATGAGGTCCGTTCCCTTTTTTATCATTCTTTTCCACCCCCGCTCACTGCCATGGCAGTGTCTCTGAGGACCTGTTGTGCGCATTTGAACTGTTAAAACCACTTGATGGCGCTGCTTTGCGCAAAGAAATGAAAGCAAAACGGAAGAGGTGAGTTATTGCCGTTTGCAATGAAGTTGGCGGTCGTGAGAAATCCCATCAAAACACACAAATACGATCGCCAATGTCCCATCTGAACTTTCTCCACAACGGCTGGGCTGTTTGCTACGATTTTTTGTGCGTTGGACTTGCATTAATGAGGGGAGGTGCACCCCACCAAAAATGGAGTGATTTGGTCAATTATTTCCGTAGTTACAAAAGGCGTGCTGTCATAAGCAGTACTATGAGAGAAGAGCGGTACCTATGGGCAATCTAAATACATAGAGTTATAGATAAGCATGTAAATGAGTGTGCCCCAGCAAAATATTGAGTGGAGATGGGCATAGGAGCCCAAAATAGATGCATGTGTCACACTACATGACCGAGATTGGCCTCGTTATTATCCATTGGAATACTCACACAAAACCATCCGACATCGCAGCGATCTCAGAGATCTCGCCCATTAACCAAAACAAACGAACGCCTATTTCCCTTGACGATCTTCCTTTCTACGTTGACACCGGCGCTACGGTTCACATCTCCCCGGAGAGATCACATTTCATGACTCTCAAACCGACAGTCGCTCGATCTGTTAAAGGCGTCGGCGGTTCATCTATAACCGCTATAGGCATGGGCAGTATCAAACTCTGCGTTGCACGCGGCGCCTATATCATCCTACAAAATGTGCTCTACCTACCAAACGCCACTGTACGCCTTATCTCAATAAGCACTCTCGGACGCGACAACCAGGCCGTTGCGCATTTTGACGAAAGCTCCTGCTGGATCACCAACAAGTCCACAAACGCCATCATAGCGCGCGGTAATCTTCTCCCCAATAAAAACCTCTATTCCCTGGCACTTCATTCTATCTACGCCGAAAATGTCTTCGCGGCTCAGCACGCACCAGACCTTGAGACTTGCACCGCCGCCTTGGTCACGCAAACTATCAGACACTCAAAGGCATGGTCAGCAGTGGGATGATACCAGGTATGCCCAAACATCTTCTTCGTGAAGACCCGCCTAAATGCGAATTTTGTGTTCTGGGTAAACAGACAAAGACACCCGTTCCAAAGTCGCGTGAAGGTCTTTCTCGATTCGTGTACTGGGTTTGGAAAGGAGGATTGAAAGCCGTTGCTGAGTCTTGAAAGATGCGGTGTTTAGCACCTGACGTGAGGTGTCAATGTGGACGACGACCGTTCAACTAGCCAGAGAGAAGCCAGTTGCAAATGCTGGAAGCACCGAAACACCTCCACATCGCCCTTCTGACAATCTCTGAAAGGTCACTCACAGCCTCAGGTCGATTCGTGAGCTAGCCATCGGTTTATAAGGTGGTTGCCATCGCATCCGAGTCGAAAAGCTCAGAGGGAGAACTTCAGGTCGGTTTGGTTTTCTGAAGGTGGTGGATGTTAGAAAAGTTCAATCGATTATGGGCATAGTGGTAGCCTATAGCCTGGAGCGAGTCAGCAACGAGACTTAGTGAAGCGAATGAGTCGCATACACGTACCTTGAATGCGAAAGGCCCTTTTTACGAAAGGGAATGGTGTACGGTAGCTTTGGACTTCCAGCAGCAGCAACGATCAAGTTGAGGCCGGTAGGGCGGTCTCGTACATCTTTTGGCCCGGGGGACTTGGAGGTTAGAGGAGTGGTGAGTCGAAGATGAGTTTGAGGGGACGGGAGAGAAATGCGTTCCCACTTTCTCAGCCTGATCGTACTCCCTTCCAAACCCTCAGCAGCCTGTGATAATCCAGCAGAATGTTTCTCCTCTTCTCTAACACCAACATCCCTCTAACCTCCCCCCCCCCAAGCTCAGCAGCAGCCAGGGCCGAAAGCGAATAAACCGTAGTGTCAACTCGTGTTCCCCGATCCTGTTTGGTTCCCCCTTCTTCCTGGCTTGTCCTCGCTGTCTCGATCCCCTTCTTTTTGCTTTTCCATCCCCGAGTCAATCCTGCATTAACGCGCTCCGCCTTACGCCAGAAGCCCGAATCCCACTCCCACCCCATTTTCCAGTCGATCAGTCCACAGTGTGGTGTACCTAGCTGCTGTGGGGAAAGGGAAAGAGGAAAATGAAGCTGGAAGCTCCGTAAAAGAGGAGGATTGTAGGAGGGTTTATGTAAGTCATTCTTCTTTCCGTTGGTTCGTACTTTCTTCTACTTGAAAAAGGTCGTGCGGAGGGATAAGCGCAAGTGGACGCCGTTGGGTAGAGTATACGGATGCTTGGAGGGTTTGAGCTTGGGTGAACTTGGTGGTGTAGCGATGTCGTCGTCGTCATTCGGGTGAATCGGAGGGGGATTCGAGTTCGAGTATGGACGGCGTGGCAGCTTTCTCGAGCCCTTCTGTGCGTAATCTGAGGCTTCGCGCGAGCGTTAGATTCTAGCGTCATAGCCCCTCGTCTTCTTCATCATTGCGAGCGCCCGATCTCGCTTAAAGACCCCCGCATCTTCACCTTCACTTCCAAGCTTGTCCTCTTCCTCCTGGTTCTCTGGTCTCCGGTGGTGTGCATGATTAGGCGACGACGATGTACCATCCGTACGATCAGTCATGCTAAGCTCAGCTCTAGCATGGGCAAAGCGCGTCCTCCCTGTGATTGAGTTTAAGCGTCTGAATGTTGAAACATATGGGTGCAGCGTACCATGACATAGACCCACAACCTATGGTAAGTTATCAACGTGCGTGTGCGCTTCTCGCGCGGAAGGATCGAGTGGAGATGGTGAGCATGCTTGTGTGCCGGAGGCTTGATAGTGGGCTGGGCGAATCCTACCAGCCGTCAAGTTGACGCGACCCAAGTTGGATACTGACCGGCGGACAGGAAAATGCGCAAGCCCGTATCGAGGGAAGGTGGACGAACTTGAAAGCGGCCGAGTCAAGGCACCAGTGAAGCGGGTGAGTTCCTCAAAGTCCTGACACACCGAGATTCTGGAATAATGTCTTCTACCAAGGAGACCCAGGACGATGACCCGATGTCGATGGTTGAGTTCAAGTCAGTGGAGTTGCGTGGTGCAGGCTGGGGCGATGAATTGTGTTACTCCTGAAATTGTTCTGTGAAGTGGTCACGTATTGGTATGCCGCCATTGAATAGACTCGCAATTGATCTGAGCAGCTCGAAGTGCGGGGACTTGGTGGTGGAGGAAAGGATGTTTGACAAACAACAAACAATAACCTCTTCTCCCCTTCTCCGACGTGCCTCCCAAACGTGCAAACTCAGTAGATCTGCCGCTTCAATGTAGATTGGGAACGACACTCGAATAGCCCTGCTGTAAGTTATCGGTTGTTGTTGCAATGACCTTTTCTCTCTGCAAAACATCGCACGACTTGCAGCTGTTCTAGGCGTATCGTGGTTTCGGACCAGCTGTAGCTCACGTACCGCGCCTCTTCCCTGCCTCGGAATACGACTAACTTGAACTCTAATGTTCAACATTGCTTGAAAAATTTATCCACCGATCCGCTGGAACGATTACCGAATTCAAGAATAAAATTACCGAAATCACTTCAATTCCGCATATTGAAGCCACTGCCTACTTCGCCCAGCTCAATATTGCATCCGCGCACGGACCCCAATTCATTGGTCGATGGAGGGTGCCTTGCCTCGGCATCACTGTCATTGGTGAGTGCAGAACTCCAACGGTCGCCTAACATTATTGCTGAGAACCTTCCAGGCGACCAAGTGACATTCTATGCAATCATTCTTCTCGGCCACCAATATCGGCTCATCAGTCTCACCCCCACCCTGTCATGTCTTCGTTCGGCGTCGGACTTGACTGACCGCACCAGCCTCTACCGCGCGTTTGCCGCTGCTTCTGTTCTCGATATGCGGATCTTCGAAGACCGTTCCGACTCACTCTTGCAAATCTGCCGCCTCTGATTCCTTCAATGAACTGGCGACTTCCTGCGGTTTCCAGTCTCCGCAAATATTCGGATACAGATGACCCAGAACACGGCTACCTTGACTTTCAAATCCATGACGACGACATTTACGCAGATCCTTCTAGACTTCTTTTCTTGGCGTCAACTTCTACCACCACACTCGTCGTAATCAAGTTCACCCGCCGATATTGTGCTGAGCTGCATGCACTGTGTGCGAAGCTTGGTCGCGCACCTCAGCTTCTCGCGTTTGAACGTCTCCCTGGGGGTTGGTTTGGTGTCGCCATGGATTATATTTACCCTATTTCTATCACTTTTGACATTAATTAAATCATATCGAAAAGTCCATACAATTATTAGTGGGTAATTCGAAAATGTGGCAAGACTGGTTGAACAGAGCTTTAAAATGACTGCAAGAGAACGAGGTACAGAGAATACAATCACAAGTTTGAAAATGCATATGCCAGGATTCTTTCATCGTCCTCCTTCCGGATCTTGAGGTCATTGTAAGTTCTTCCGTCTTTTAATTCTGGGTGGAGGTTCCACTTCGGATAGGCAGTCTCCCCATCTCGACCTCCCCAGTCAAAGTCAACAAGTAGGACCCGTTCACCATCCTCGACAATTATGTTCGTATCTCTCAGGTCTCCATGAACCAGATCTTCCCCATGAAACTTGTTTAGGACTTCCTTCAACTCCTTGTACCAGCGTGGGCGCTCGACATGGTCCTTCGGAATGATCCGCAGCGGCTTAGCTGTTGAAATATAATTCATGGCGACACCAAACCAACCCCCAGGGAGACGTTCAAACGCGAGAAGCTGAGGTGCGCGACCAAGCTTCGCACACAGTGCATGCAGCTCAGCACAATATCGGCGGGTGAACTTGATTACGACGAGTGTGGCAGTAGAAGTTGACGCCAAGAAAAGAAGTCTAGAAGGATCTGCGTAAATGTCGTCGTCATGGATTTGAAAGTCAAGGTAGCCGTGTTCTGGGTCATCTGTATCCGAATATTTGCGGAGACTGGAAACCGCAGGAAGTCGCCAGTTCATTGAAGGAATCAGAGGCGGCAGATTTGCAAGAGTGAGTCGGACGTCTTCGAAGATCCGCATATCGAGAACAGAAGCAGCGGCAAACGCGCGGTAGAGGCTGGTGCGGTCAGTCAAGTCCGACGCCGAACGAAGACATGACAGGGTGGGGGTGAGACTGATGAGCCGATATTGGTGGCCGAGAAGAATGATTGCATAGAAAGTCACTTGGTCGCCTGGAAGACATGGTTCTCAGCAATAATGTTAGGCGACCGTTGGAGTTCTGCACTCACCAATGACAGTGATGCCGAGGCAAGGTACCCTCCATCGACCAATGAATTGGGGTCCGTGCGCGGATGCAATATTGAGCTGGGCGAAGTAGGCAGTGGCTTCAATATGCGGAATTGAAGTGATTTCGGTAATTTTATTCTTGAATTCGGTAATCGTTCCAGCGGATCGGTGAGCCGCAATGTTATGTTCGTCCGTCCTAAAGCTGCGGAATGACTCCGCATGAAGTGGCATGAATACAGGCGCGTCCTCTTTGCGGCATGAGAAAATCGCATTCAGCAGGGGAAGCCCTTCGTCTCGTCGAACGTCTTCGCTTACAAAGAACTCGGCCATCTTGTCAGCAAAGTCATCAACGGCAGCCTCAAGAGCAGGGAAATCTATCTTCGACAGAGAAGGAACATCCTCGAGTCCGTTGTATATATCAAGGAAGTGGCCGAAGCCGGAATAGAGCAGTGGTGCAGGCGGTACGTTTGAATCTGCCGATGGACGGTCGTCGAGGATCCTTTCAGAGGCATTTCTCTGCAGATTCTCATAAAAGATGGTTTTTGACGCGTCAGAAGGGGCCATGGTGATCAGTTTCGCCTTCTTCGCTTGCTCGAAAACATCAAGTTCAAGCACGGCGCCTGCCTTTCGCTTCTGACGGTCTGATTCTGATTGGTTTGAAAGTCGGAATGAGAAGCGTAAAACCAGGGAGAGCGATGGTGAGACATGGAAATGAGAGGACATTGTAATTTGGCGTAGTGAGGAATCAACCCAGACCGGCAACGAGACCCATTTGAGATATGTGAGGAGGGAGATGGGAAGGAGGAAAGATGAACGAAGAAAGCATGGCATCAGGGAGGAACATTACAAATTTGCAAATGTGGAGAAGGGATCAGTGGTAGGTGGACGGATGATAGAGAGATGGCGAGACAATGAGGGAATGCGCGAAGGAAGAGATGGTTCCGAGGGGTGATCGATGTAAGCCGAGACGCAGAGATGAACGTGTGATGGCGAGCAACAGGGAGAATGGAGAAGATGATGATGTATTGCGAGTAGGAAAGACGGGCGGCCAAAGGGGCGATGTAGAGAAGAGAGGAAAAGATAAACAATCCCCGCAGGGGTATGGAAAGAGAAGAATAAAACACAGAACGGGACAACGTGCGCGACAAGAACATCCGGAAAGCGGCGAGCGACGCAAGTTTTGTTTTGTGGTGAGCCGAGTACATGAAGTGCACAACGACGAGGGAAATTGGAAGGGAAATTTGACACAGGACCCTATCAGCGATATCCGGCTATAGCAAGGGACCGTCACTCACCAGCATCCGGTTTCCGTACAATAATATGAATATGATGGAGGGAAGGTTGGTCTGGGAAGACGGTTAAGACGCTGTCCGTAGGGTCGAGTTCTTCCCCGGAATTCCTAGCAGACGCGACACGTTGGGGCAGCGTCTGTTTCGGTTTCGTATTGATAGAATTTCCTTCCTTGGGCTGGGACGACGGCGAGTAAGCCATATTGTCTGACGTCGCGAATCTTCCGTGTCACCCACCTTCCAGAGTACTAGGGCGTCGGCAAATGAACCCATATGTTGCCTCTCATGTATTTTCTCCTTTAGGTCGGCAACTAGGAATGTCGCTTGGTGCCACAATGAATCTTTGACGTTCACTAGAAACGCCTCAGATTCGCCTTCGATGACACACTGTAGCAGAAGATCGTCATCGCCGAGGTCCATAGTCTCCTCCACCGGATGAGATGTGGGCAAGGGAAGAGGTGGGCCCAGGTATCATAGTTGTGGGAATAAAAAAGGAAAAAGAGAGAAATTCCCAAAAAGGAAAGAAGAAAAGAGAGAAAAAAAGATTTCCTTAGATTTATTAGCACTATGACACTTGCAAGGTAAAAACAATATATTGAACACTACAATTTAAGAACTACGTAGATTTGTTGGCATCCTGAGCATTAATCATTGCACAGGGAAGAGAAGGGTGTCTGCTGTCTTTCCCTTTACATTCCTTTGAGTTGCACAAAGCACAGGGGTTTTGGCACAGATCTTTTCTGACCCTTCCTTTACACCCTTCAATCTCACATTTCCAGCACCTCTTTGAAGCACGTTTTGTGACAGTGTCCTGCTTAGACTTCTTATTTTTCTTATTGCTGTTTGATGTCTCTGTTCCACTGGGCAATATACTTGGTCCTGCAACTGGATTATCCTCAAGTGGAAAGTGGATATCAAAAAGCAGCTCAGAGTTTTGATCACTGGAATGGAGGCTAATTGATTGTTTTCCTGATGTTGGTTGCTGGGTAACTGGCAAAGTCATTGCATGATATGTTTGTGAAGCTATATTTCTTTCAGGGTTGTGAATCCGAGCTTCAATTCCCTTGCGCTGAGAACTGGTCTGGGACTGTGTGGCAAGATGTGCAATATTTGTCTGCCAGACAGTATAATATGCTGTCAGATGTTCTTCAAGCTAGAAGTATAATCTTTAAGAAATACTCCGACATTAAATCAAGAAATATTCTCACCTTGTAAAATATAGTTTTACCATCAGCATGATCACGGTTCCAAATCTGGACACCAGTCTTCCAGTCAGGTTCCTGTTTATCCCGATTGAAGTATGGATTTGTTTGGATCAAGCTAGAGAATAACTGCTTTTCAGGAACAGTATGAACAGCAACAACTGCAAACTGTGTTTGTTGTTGCTGAGCAAGAAATTGATGCAGTGTCTTTGAGGTGACTCCAGGAATATATGGCTGCATCAAGGCTTTAGTACACAGTATAGGAGGAATTGGCAAAATTCCTGAGACTTCTGATGTATCCATGTAGAGTGAGCCATTAGTCCAACCTTGAATCCTGTAGGAAAGTGGAACATGAATTCTGGTTTTTTCAATCATTGTTTGAAGTTCATCATAAAGCCAAATGTCATCATGTCCAATAAATCTATGTCCAGTCCGGTTTTTGGTTCCAACATGGAGATTATGATGAAGTTGAAAGTCAGCCAGTCTGTTGACAGCATTACGAGCTGAAATGATAGAATCTGGGAAACAAGCCCGAATAGAATGATGAACACCTCCTTCAGTAAAATTTGTGCCTCTGATACACCGCCATATTGGTAATCCATTCTCCTTTCTATCAAGGCCAACCTGATAGTAAAGTGGGATACCAGGAGGATCTGAAAGATATCCAGCTTGAATTGTTTTCAAAATATTCCGAGCACTCTTCCAGGCAACTGGTGAAAATAAAGGTTGTCCAGTTATAGAGTCTTTTAATGGCCCATATACTTTGAAAATATTTTCAACTAAATCATAAAGCTGTTCTGGAGGTGGTATATACCGTCGAACAAGTTTCCACAGTGACTTGGGCTGGAACTTCAATTTCTCATTCCATGATGACCCTTCAGATTTCAACCGAGCCTCAACTAATGCACGATCTTCTTCATTGAGTAAGAAAATCGCATCACGCATTGCTCTTGCAAATTGTAGATGCAGTCCATGACTTTTTGGAATTGATATTCTATCAAAGATGTGCCATGGATCCAGAAGAACTCTGCTGCGGATAGGCCCAGCACTTGATGCTGGATTATTCCGTAGATCGGTCAGTACTTTATTGCCAATTTGAGTACTAGTAGAATCTTTTTCTGCATCCTGAGCCAAATTTTCTGGGAGAGCATTATGATCAACTTCAAGATCAGCATCAGCAGCCCAGGAGTTGTCAGTGAGACTTGGATTCTCAGCATCTAGTTGTATATCACTTATTGGTGTGTTTAAAGCAACTGTTTCTTGGGTTGCTTCACCACTCTCAATTTCTTGAATGACTGAAACATGTACTTGTTTTCTTTTACAAACAAGTCTAAAAGGTGGTGGTCCAAAGTCTTTGAGTGCCTGATTTTTGTGACTCTCAATGATTGCCCCTGGGACAGAAACCTTTTGAACCTCGATTGCAACTATTTTGTCAGAAGTGTGGAGGGCAATGTTATCAATGACTGCATTCTCCTCAGAGTTTAATGAAGACCAGGTGCCATATGCAATTATTCTTTGCCCATCCTCTTGGTAAATTATGACTGGTAGCCCTGGGGCTGCATTTTGAGGTACATTTCCATATTTTTCAAGCTCAACAAGCTTTTCATAAATGCACTTTGAAGCATGTGCATCCTGGGCAATATACATGATCTGATCCTGGGAAAGATTGGCATTCTCCCATTCAGTGCTCACTCTAATAGTGTCATCCCTGTTTAGCTTGAAGCCTAAAACTAGAGCTGATAGCTCTGTTAAGCTTACTCTTGCATTTGGGGCTACATGTCACATTTTGGCAAGGGGAGCAAGTTCAACAGCACCTGGGAATGGATCTTTCATCTTTGCCTCTGTCTGGAGCCGCTTCAGATCATTTTTAATCCCCCTGCCCACTTTCAAAATGCGCTCATCAGCAAGTATATTCTTGATTGCAACAGGAAGCTTTCCAGCATTTGTATATTGGGATATCTGAAGGACAAAAATCTGGTTTTCAAATGAAATGGCAACCACTGCAGTCTTTCCCTGTCTTGAGTTACCAGGAGTTCTGTCAACATTCCACTCTGTATCAAATCCAATGATCACTGTGCCATTTTCACTGATTTCTGATAGCTTCTCATGGATGCATGCTAGTGCAGTTTGAAATTGTGAAGCATTAGACTTGACATGGATGGATACACCCTCTGGAATGGAGTAGAGTGGATAATTCACATATTTATTCACAGGCTGAACTTCTTTTAGTAGAGATGGAAAGCATTTTTCCAAGAATGCTTTATCAGCAATATTGTCTGTATAAAATATTTCAACTTCTCCAAGTCCATAGAGTTTCAATGACTCTCTCATATTGACCAGTGCAATTTCAAATTGAGCATGAGCCTTTGTAGCAACTAGTGCAATTATGCGTATTTCACCCATTTCATTTGTTACAGTGAGCAAGCCAATAAACACAGGAACACCATTGATTGTAACAATGTGCTTTGTGATCTTGTGAGAATGATCAATTGCACAGATTCTTGCAGGCAACATGGATGAATATTGATATATTCTTGGAAGATGAGCTTCAATGAATGAATCATAGAGGTCACGAAACCAAGTTGAGCATGGAACATATCCTGAATATCCTTGAGGATCAGAAAATTCAGAGAATGGTTGAAATGAATGATTTTGCCAACGACTTTGACTCTGGCCTTCAAATATCATGTGTAGATACTGAAGATGAATTTGATCAAAGCGACGCATATGCAAAGTGGTTAGAATATTTGAGAATTGCTTTGCTCCTAGCCCTTTTTGGAATAAAGAACGTTGTAAGGCAAGAATAGGAGACGATAAAGCACTTCGCTTGGTGAGAACTACAGGAAATTCTGCTGCAAGTGCTTTTGGAAAAGCTGCTAAAATTCTTGGGTCCCAGCTCATAAATGTGACAGTTTTCTTTCCAGTAATGGGGTTTGCACAAGTTGGGCACTTGTATCGAGCACCAATCATCCAGAAGCATTTATCAAGACCAACACCTTGCCGAGGTATCTTGTGGAGTCCATGACGATTTAACCAAGAGAGCTTGCAAATGGGGCATTTGATTTTGGTTAACAACTCTGGGTCCCAGTAGAATAGCTCAAAATCGTAAAGTGCCTCAGGTTCAAGAGACTTTGCCTTTGTCATTATAAACCACCCTGCCTTTTTAGGAACCCAAAAAGTTTCATAAACCTCATAGAATGTGGCCCTGTTGTTTCTGTCCTTTTTTTCAATGACAGCCAATTTTTCTTCAAAAGCCTTTTTAAACCATGGGGGAAATGATTGTGATTTCTGAGGTTGTTCCTCTGCCCCATCTTCATTGAAGTCAAGACCTGATTCATCAGCCTCTACTCCTCCAGATTCATAACTTTCTACACCAATGCCATCATCTTCATTGCTATCTTCAAAAATGGCAGTTTCATCAGGGTCAGGAATAATGGCATGGGTTGGGATATTTTCCAAACCAGATAGAGCTGAATTATCTCTGATATTGTCCCCATTCTTTTGAGAAAGCCATTGGGCAACTGATGTATACTTTGGGCCACGAGGTGCATCTTTATCCCGTAGATGAGGGAGTTTAATGGAATTATTCTGGTCATTGGGAGAAGGAGCATCTGGTGTGAGTGCTCGCTTTTGTTTACCCTTAGACTTTGCAGATAGTTCAACAAGTTTTGGTCGTCCTCATGGCCGCTTTGGCTCATTTGACGAACGTGCACCACTTGCTTCATCGATATCCACATCAATGAATTGGAATGAAGTGACAGCTGAAGTATCAGAATGCTGTGTATCAGCATTAAAAGAGCTTCCCCCAGTATAAGGACCATCAAGGTCAATGATCATAGAGCCAGAATTATGTACTAAAGAACTTAAAGAGCTCTCAAGGTTCCCAGGATTACTAAATGCATACATCTCAGACTCAGAGGTTTCCAAATTATGAAATGTATAAGACCCAGAGCTATCAAGACGATCAGACACATTTGTTTGACCAAGGTGATCACTGGCAGAATCCAAAGTTATATGTGCACAAGGCTCTAACCCAGAGGAGCTTTCCAGATTATTAAATATATGAGACCCAGAGCTCTCAAAACTATCAGACACAATTTTTTGGTGAAGGTAGTCACCAGCAGAATCCAAAGTTGGATGTGGATGAGGCTCCAACTCAGGGGAGAAACTCATTGGAAGATCGTTAGTATGGTTAGGTGGGTCATAAAAGGGAAGTAATGGAAGTGTGGAGGATTGGTTATCTGGGCTACAACAAATTCAATATAAGAGTCTAAGTTGAATTGCCAATTCTTACCCAGAATTTTCTGATTGAATATCAGACATGATGATATCTCCCATTTGTGAGGAAACATTGTCTGAAGCAGATCTACAAGGAGATTTAATGAGAACTATTTGTTTCATCTCATCCCAATACATACTGAGCTGGAGCACTGATTGGAACTCCATCTAAAATGAGCAATTCTTCCTGTGTCAGATTACCAAAGAATTCATTGTCAAATTCATTGGGGATAGCATCAAATTCTAGATTTAAAATATGTGAATAAGGAAGCATTGGTGATAGAACAACTGACCATCTGGGTCTTGGTCCATAGCACAATCAAGATCAGAGCAGATCAGTGAGATCTAGGAGGATCTATCACAAAATATGTCAGGAAATGGATATATTCACTGTACAATCAATAA